CATCTCTCTCTTCTTCTCCGTCTACTCTCTCCTTGCGTTTCTCTCTCTTTCTCTTCTCTCACTTCTCTCTCTCCCTCTCTTTCGTCTCTTTTCTCTCATCTCTCTCTCTCTCTCTGTATTCTCTCTTCTCTTCCTCCTATTCTCTCCCCCTCTCTAGTCCTCTCCCGTTTATCTCTCCCCTTCTTCTCTCCGTCCCTCTCTCGTTACCGCCTGTATCCTCACTCTCTCTCTCTCTCTCTCCTCTCTCGTATCTCCTCTCTCTCCTCTCTACACCTTTCTGCTCAGTTATATCTTATTACTCTCTCTCTCTCTCTCTCTCCCTCCTCCTTTACTCCTCTCTTTCTCGCTTTCTCTCTCTCGCTCTCTCTCCTATCTTATCTATCTCCCGCCGCCCTCATTTTTTCTACCTTCCCCTCGCCGTTCATTGTGGAGCGTAGACATGCTCGGGGTCCGCTGCTTTAAGTGCGTCTCCATCCTCGCATGGGGGAGGATGCGTTGGGGGGAGCCAGTAGAAGAGAAGAAAGAGAAGACAAGAAAGCAAGACAAGAAGAAAAAGACCACAAGCAAGAAGAAGCAAGAAAGATTGAAGAGGATTGATGACTGCGCGCATTATAGAACTGAACTCACGATTCCCCGCTCCCCCTACGCGTACGCTTAAAGATGAAGCATTTAGCTAAAGACACGCCGCTGGCTAGATAGACGACGTCCCCAGACAGGAGAGAGAGTGGATAGAACGACGCAAGGGAGGAGCAAGACTGCGCAGAGAGAAGAAGAAAGACATGTCGTGAGATTGGGAGACAGAAGATGAAGAAGAAGCTGGCTCACGTCCGCCTGTCCGCCCACACTGAAGTCCCCGCTACGACCGTAAGTACAGTAGATAGTGACATCCCAGCCACTAGTTAGCAAGATAACGAGTGAAGAAGAGGCGTCAGCCTGTCCCAGTTCCGCTCTCTCCCTCTCTGAGCTTTCATCCCGAGCAGCGCTGGTGCAACGTCAAATGACGCAGACCTCACCGTGATTCCGCGACGCATTGTTTACTTCATCAGTCCCTGCGGCTCGCAGCAGAGATTCTTACGCGTCGTGTGGAGCGCTCGCAGGGGATTTGGCTTGGTTTTACGCGCTCAAGACTCCTGTCATAATTCACCTTTAGCTATGTTATCAGGATACTGTATATTAATTGGGGTGGCGGTGGCAATGTCGCCATCACGAGGTTTTGAGGGCAGTTGCCTCGGTGTGAATGAAAGCGTGCTGGGGGTGTTGAAGCCGAGAAACCAACATCGCTCACATGAGACGTGAACGGATACATGATTCGATGGGAGGAGAGTAGGCTTATAATATAATCTATATCTATTACTATCTGCTACGATCGCACCATCTTATATATTATTTATTTGCTCCTATATTATATTGTTGGTACAGCACGTGAGTTGTTTTCAATAAAGAACACAGGATCACTGGTGATATTAACTTCGAATTTTACCGACTTACTTTTTTCGCTGTAGAGTATAAATATCGCTTCACTACCGCCCCGGTCATTTCCCCGTGTTAATATTTGATATATAGGCATTTCGTGCTCGGCTCCCCCTGTAATAAATTTCTGCTACTTACTTTTATCCTCTATGCGCTCCTATATTAAATATATATTAATACTCAATATTAGGATATTAGAATTAAATATTCCCTATTCAATTAATGATGAATACACTCTGTCCTCGTTGACACATCCCTTCAGATGCCAGTGGGCGAGGTTAATGACCGTGCTTTCTACTATCTTTTTGTTCGTCGTTAGTTTTTGTCATGTCTATGCTTCGTTCTTGTCGCCGTTCGTTCTTAAATATTGCGGGACCGATGGAAAGCGATGCAGACGCCTTGCTGTGGGCGTGAGCGGTAGCGTGGGCGGCGACTGTCTTTTCCGCCCTAATACATGTATAAATCTCTCACGCAGTCAAGTATCTATATGTGTCTTTCTACACAGCTCGTCTGACAGTAGTGTTCTTCTGTGTGTATGTTGCAGGTCCCCGGGGGAAGAGAGGAAGACGGGGCGTGACTGGCGAGATTGGACACAGCGTGATGGTGAGCTACACACATCGCTAATACACACACCCCTCCGCTGCTCGCCCTGCGAGTGCTATCTAATTGTCTCTCAATTTAATTAAGTAATTGTTTAATTAATTAGTTAATTAGTTAATTTAATTCATAATTGATTGATTGAATAATTAATTGATTGATTGATTAATTGAATTTTTATTTATTTACTTAATAATAATTAAATTAATGAATAATTGATTAACTAATTGGTTAATTAATTGAATAATTCGCGATCGCCTTAATAACGTGCTTACGCGTAAAGTCATACCGGGGAGCTTTAACTCTCGCTCTCTCTCTCTTTCTCTCTCGTTCTTCTGTTACCGTGATAAAGTCGCTCAGTCATAGCGTTGTTGCCATTTTACTTGCGTCCCCCTTATATAGAGAGAGTGGAGATCTCCAGTGCATCTCAATCGTCAGCGGCGACCTATTATACGACGGCGGGAACGCCAGCATCGCGCGTCTCCCTGCGCCCCCCGGCGGAAGCTATACTATATCAACATCCCCGGATAGCTATATATCACAACATGTATACTTGCTAGCAATCTATGACAATACGACATACGCCCTGGATACGCTCTCCATATGACACTATATTGTCATTAGAGAGATTATTCCTTGGTGACAATATTGTTTGTATGTGTTCGTGCGCCATCATAGGAGTTGTAGGATCACTATTATGAACGCCCATATCAGTGAATTTCAGGCTTGTAAAGCGGAACGAAGTTTGACTCGCCAATTGATTTGTCATAGGAAGAATCCTCCTATTATGACAAACTAGTGTCATACGGAAGAGCGTATGTGATGTCGATATGTGTTAGGTTGTCATAGATGCTTAGCAGAACAGTCTGGATATATACTCTATACATAAGCAGACGTGTAACTACCGAGCGTGGTCATCATCGCGTTAGTGGTCGGCGCCCGCGTATAAATGCTGTGCATCCCAACTCCAAAAACACCCTAGCGGCCAGAAATCCACGCTTTTATCTCTTACCCCCGTGTACTCACGAATCAACAAGTCATGAGGCCCACCAGCTCATATCAGATAAGATTCAGGATTCGCATAGTGTATATATTATGCTATAATATATAGTATATATATATTGTGTGTTCGAGGAGTTGGTATTATATATTATATATGTATTATATATATATGTTTCAGCGATATATAATTATATATATTCAGGAGTGTACAATATCTTATTATTATACACTTCGCTGATAGATTCACTCCACTACGTCGCTCCCCCCCACACACACGCGATAACATAGTGAGAGGTGGGGGGTCACCGTGGTGCGTCTGACAGTATTATGTATAGGTGAGGTTGCGGCGAGATTTTCCGATAGAGGTGTCTTCAGTTTTCAACTCATGTTGTAGTATTCGATTATCAGTGACGCTCTCTCTCTCTTCTCTTTCTCCGCTGTGGTCGCGCACTGCGGGCTAGTGAGGCCTGGCGGCGCCGTATGCGTGGCCCGGTGATCGTACTGCTGTAACGGGCCTGACCACGCGACCACGGGTTCCTGGTGCGGGTCCGGTCGCGGTGGTGGGCCGGCCGCGGCAGGCGCGTGCGCCGTGTTGAGCTAGCGCGGGGCGAGGGGGGCTGGTGACGGCTCATGTTTTATGTAATTATCCGATTGATTACGAACTGTGTTTGGCCTGGTTTGGCGACGTGTCGTGTGCCGTGTGCTTGCGTTGCGTGCGTGTGTTGCCCTGTGGTTATCTCTATCGTGTGGATCCGCGGACCCTGTGTGCGCGTGTGTGTGTGTGATGTGTGTGATGTGTGTGGCCTGCTGTGGGTCCGCGACGTGTGTACGGGAATTGGGTTGTGCGTGTGTGTGGTGTGTGTGCGTGTTGTGTGTGTGCGTGCTTCGCATCGCGCGGGTTCCTTGGTGTGCGCCCCGCAGCGGCGCCGCTGTGGCTTGCACGCAGCGAACCTCGCTGAGTCTGTGGGTGTGGTGTAGTGGTGGGCGGCTCCCTCCGCCGGGGTGCGTGGCTGCGCGTGTGTGTCCCCGCCTGCGTGCCTCACGCGAGATGCGACTGTGTGTGCGTGATAGTGCCCGCCAGCCATTGTGCCTTTGCCATCGCCGGTATGCTGTGTACACGGCTGTGCTATCGTGAGCTGTTTTATTAAAAGCAGTTACGCGTTTAACTTTTTTATCCGGATCCGGCAAAACCATGCCTCGCCGCCACGGCGCGCACCGCGCGCTCCGTGCCAGCCTCTCAGGCTTGACCGCCGCGCGCCACCCCCTTCCGACCCCCCTTCATGACCCCTGGACGAACCGCGAATCCTTTCCAGATTGTGGTGTTTCCTCTCGCGCGCGCCCCGGGTGTGTGGTTCCCAGTCCTCGGCTCCCGATGCACAGACGTTCCCGGACACTACTTGCCAGTCTCCGCTTTCGTCCGTCACCTCACACCCTTCACTATGTTGCGCTGACTGGCCGCCGAAGGTTACGCGAATGGAAGCTGGAAGGGTGTCGCTTGCGGGGTCGTTAGGTGGCGGTGGCGTCGATCGAGGGATGGTCTCTTGTCGGTTTGTGCCTCCGTGTACTACACTGATTACTAATGCGAGTTTCTCCCACCAGCGGACGATCGGGACACATGCGATACATGGTACGCCATTTTGTTCGATTCGTGCACACGTCCGGCATACACACCCTTTTCCCCCTCTCCCTCGCTTTCCCTCTCCACTCTCCCCCTCTTACCTTCTCCCTCTCTTCCCCTTTCCCTCTCTTACCTACTTCTTTTTCTTTTCCCTCTTTCCTTTTTTTCTACCTCTTACCTTCTTTCCTGTTTGCCTTAGGCTCTCCCCTTTCCCATCGCCTTATTCCTCTTCTTTCCTGCTCTTTTATCTCACATCCCATTCTCCTCTTCGTTCGCCTTCCTTTCTTCACCTTACCTTCTCCTGGTCTTCCCCTCACTCTCTCCCATCCCCTTCTCCCTTTCGTTCACCCTTCTCGTTCGCCTTCTCTTCTTCACCTCACCTCACCCAGTCCCCTTACTTTCCTTCCTCCCCTTCCCCTCACTTTCTTCCCTCTCCTTTCCCCTCTCCCCACTACTCGCTTGCTGCCCCCAGGCATCGCCTTAACCCTGGAAACCGATCCCAAAGCAGCCCAGCCCGCCGTGCCTCGCAGCCCTGGTGGCAGGTTCGAGTCCCTGCATCCCACTCCCCGTGCAGCGGCCTGCATGCACGCTGATCCGGGATACTAACCCAGGCAACGAAGCTGGCGACGTCTGGTGGCGAGGTCTACAGGACGGGGTCACGCACGGCGGGCCCGTTAGAGAGCGCCAGTAGTCGGTATCGGCGAATCTGTTAAAAAAATCAAAAAGTCAGCGAAAAAGGTTACGAGAATAGGAACGAAATCGGGAAAAAACAACTTGAAAAGGAGAAAAACTTGAAGTGAATTTTTAACGCGTTCCGATGAAAAACGCGAACATTTGTTTGGATTTGTTGACGATAGATGGCGCTGCGTCGACCTCGCCGTGAACCCGTCGTTCGCTGCTTCGCTGTTCTGTGCTATCTGGTTAGGTCGGCTGTAGGTTAGACTAGTAGGGTGGTCGCTCGTGAGAGTGCGAGATGAGTCATTAGTCTAGTGGGGTTCTATTGGTGTCGGGACGAAGATGTGTGCATTAATTGTCACTCTGTGTCTCTTTCGCGCTATTGCGCTCTCTCTCTCTCTTTCTCTCTCCCTCTCTCCTCTCTCTCTCTCATCTCTCATCTCTCCTCTCTCTCTCTCGTCTTCCTCTCTCTCTCTCTCATGTTCTTTCTCTTCGCTCCTCTCTCGTCTACTCTCCTCTCTCCCTGTCGCGCTCTCTCTCGTCTTCTCTCCTCTCTCATCTCTCATCTCCTCTCTCTCTCTCGCTCTCTCTCGCACCTCTTTCTACTCGCGCTCTCCTCATGTCGCGCGGCTCTCTCTGCCTCTCTCTTCTCTCGTCTCTCTCTCTCTCTCTCTCTCTTTCTCATCTCTTCCATCTCTCTCTCTCTCTCTCACTCTCTCTCGCTTTCGCGTTTCGCTCTTTCTTTCTCTCTCTCTCTCTCTCTCGCTCTCTCTCTCTCTCATCTCCCTCCTCTCTCTCTCTCTCATCCTCGATCCTCTCTTCTCCTCCTCTCCTTTTCTCTCGCTCTCTCTCTCTCTCTCTCGTCTCTCTATCCTCTCTCATCTCTCTCTCTCTCGTCTCTCCTGTCGCGCTCTCTCTCTCTCTCTCTCGGCTCTCTCTTCGCCACTTTTCTGTTCTCTCACGCTCTCTCTCTGTCGCTCTCTCTACTCTCTCTCTCTCTCTCATCCATCTCTCTCTCTCTTCTCTCTCTCTCACTCTCTCTTCGCTTTCCGTTTCGCTCTTTCTTTCTCTCTCTCTCTCTCGGCGCTCTCGTCTCGCTCTCTTCTCTCTCTCTCTCTGTCTTCATCGATAGCTGTCTTTCTCTCATTCTCTCTCTCTCTACTTTTTTTTGTCTCTGCTCTCTCTCTCTCCTATACTTATCTCTTGCCTCTCCTTTGCTCTTCTCTCTCTCGTCGCTCTCTCCCTCTCTCTTTCTAGTCTCGCTCTCTCATTGTTCTCTCAGCGCTCTCCTCTCTCTCTCTCTCTCTCTCTCTCTCTCTCTCTCTCTCTCTCTCTCTCTCCTCTCTCTCATGTTCTCTCTCTCTGTCTCTCCTTCCTCTCCATCTCTCTCTCTCTCTTTCTCTCCCTCTTCTCCCTTCTCTATCTCTCTCTCGCTCTCTCCCCTCTCTCTCCACTTGATTCTTCCTCTCTCTCTCTCCCTGTCTCTCTCTCTTTCTCTTCTCATCGTGTTCTCTTGCCTCTCTCTCTCTCTCTCTCTCCTCTTTCTCGGCTCTTTCTTTTGCTCTCTCATCTCTCTCTCTCTCTCTCTCTTTCTCATCTCTCTCTCCTCTCTCTTTCTCTTGCTCTCTCTTCTCTCTCTCTCTCTCTCTCTCTCTCTCTCTTGCTCTCTCTCTATCGCTCTTTCTCTTGCTCTCTATTTATATAGGTGTATCACATTATTCGTGTAATTTATATTGGTGTCGGTGATTAGTGTCGGCTCTAATAATTAGTAATAATTATTATGCATTCGTAATATAAGCATCATTCTTCCCACACGTTTCTTCTTCATCTTCCGCCTCCTCCTCCTCTTCGTGTTCTTCTTTATATTCTCTTTCTCGCGTGGTTCTAGCGGCATGCGCGCGGGGGCGGGGCGGGGCGGGGGCGGGGGCGGCAGTGAAGAGCGGGTATCGATAGTGACTGAAGGAATTTACGACACGATGATAATGTTGGAAATTTATCGTTGGTTGTTTCTCGCGAGAGCAAAGCAGTATAACTCTTTCTTCTAGACACGTNTATATATATATATATATATATGTGTGTGTGTATGTGTATGTATACATATATATATATATATATGCGCGTGTGGCAAGCGTAATGCATCTAGCGTAAGATTGATGTGACGACGGACGAGAGATATCGTGTTCAGTAAAGAATGTGAGAATCGCTGCTACGCCGCCTCCGCCGCCGCCTCTGCTGCTGCTGATGATGCTGCCGCTGCTGATGCTGATGCTGCTGCTGCTGCTGATGCTGATGCTGCTGCTGCTGATGCTGATGCTGCTGCTGCTGTTGCTGCTACTGCTGCTGTTCTGCTGCTACTGCTGCTGCTGATGCTGCTGCTGCTGCTGACTGCTGCTGCTGATGCTGCTGCTGCTGTTGCTGCTACTGCTGCTGTTGCTGCTGCTACTGCTGCTGCTGATGCTGCTGCTGCTGCTGATGCTGCTGCTGATGCTGCTGCTGCTGTTGCTG